ATAGTGTTAACTGAACTCAGTGCAGGCTTATTTGATGAGTGTAAAAAAATCTGTTACATTAGCTGTCTCCAGTTTCATCTGTGGTTTGAATACTTGGCTGCATAGACTAGAACGGTTATATGTTAATAACACAATATTTCGCTATGGAGAAATCTATTCACTCATTGAAAGTGAGCATGTTGTTTCTTGTTGGCTTCTTTCATGCCATTCCAGGGAAAATCCTAGATGATTTACTCATACATCTCCCAGAATCTTTGACCTTTACTTAAATAGAGATACCCACACATTTGCTTTCGGCTGTCTGTGGTGCCCTTGGTTTGATTGGTTGCATGCTCTTACCCAGACTCCCTGTTCTGCAGTCTACCATAAGTTTTACTTATCTGTCAGGCCTGTTTGCCTCAGCTGAACTGGAATCAACAGGATTTTTGGTTATGTTCTGATGTGTTCTTTCAGTGTTCAGATTGATTTTTGGTCTTACAGGATACCTCAGGTAGCCCTCGTTCTGGTGCTCTGATGAATTCCACAGAAGACTTACTGCAAAGAACATATGAGATAGATGAATTATATAACTTCTTTCTAGCAATTAATGGAAATGTAGAAAAGATGAGAGGTAGATGAAAGAATTGATTTTAGATTATCTGTCCCATGTTACTAAACAGCCTGTTAATGGAGGTGGCTTGCATCACAGATGCTCTTACATGACTGAAAAAATGCTGTAGGACAACCAATTTGTGTTTTCAATGCAATAGAGATGTTCAGCATTTCTGACTCACAAAAAATAAGATACAGATAGGAATTGATTCCTTATAATTTGGAAATTTAAAGTCAGATTTATTTTTTCAGCTGAGCAAGCTGAGCATGTAAATATATCTTTTCAATAGTGACTGACTGAAAAAAAGCCTCAGTATATTTCCTTTTTGAAGTCTGAAAGGACTTTGAATTGTTGAGGGGGATGACATAAGATGAAGCAAATCTCAAATCTCACTGACTGCAGCAACAGAGGAGTAACAGCGAGTGAGCAAATAAGAAATAATGCCTGAACCCCCCTGCAAAGATATTGAGATGGGGTGAAAGCATGTCTCATAATGGCATGACAATTGAGAGAGAAAAATTCATGGCAGGTGACCATTATTTTTGTGTTTCTAAGATAAAGCCAAATAAAGGTTCCACGCTGTGTGCACATGTAAGCTTGCAAAGTAGGATTAATGTATTTTATACAGTGCCTCAAGCTTGATCTCTGAACAGTGGAGATTTCAAGGAGGAAGTCAGAAAATTAAATTAATAAGATTTTTTTTCCTAATATTCTTCCCCCATGACATCCTAGCAACATGTATGAACAAAGCTGTAGAAAAATGGAATTACCAAAATTAATTTGTGCTTTCATAAGTACTGAAAAATTTCACAGAGCTCTCAGTTATATCTGCTACTCATTGGGCAATTGTGAATATAAGAAAATGTAGTGGATTGAGGAGTTAATCGATATTCCAAACTTTCTGCTTTCACTTGGTGACAGTCTGAATCAAAAGTAGCTTAGATAGCAAAGGGAAGTGTACAGACATTCCTCAGAGGAAATCAGAAACAATCAAGATATCAAAGACAATACATAGGAAAGTGAGAAATCATATAAGTGACGTGCTGTGAACTCAGGGAATGGAAGACAAGTGTTAGGTGGGACATGGATTTTATGTTTTAAGGACACATAAATGTAGAGGAAAAGTGTCATTTGGAGGCCAGAGGAAAGAAAAAAGTGTTGTGAAAGTGATGGTTTGACAAACTGTTGGTGAACACAACAGCCAGAATTCTTTTCACTGAATGTATATGAGGAAGGTACCATGCTATCACAGTGTGTTAAATATTACTAGAAGTAGCTGTATTATTGTTACTTCACTTGCATAAATTAATCATGGGAATATAAACAGATTTTGCTAATAATGTTTTTAGACACTGTACTAATGCTTATCATTGTATCATCGTATGTATATAAATAGATCAAGAATAGTCAAATTTCCTACCATGCTTTGTAGACTTCCTGTTTCAACTTCTTAGAAAACTGTGCTTTGAATAATACATATTTTGTTTTGAATAGTAGGAGTAAGTGGAAGCTTGATGGCAAGAAGAAATGGTTTATGCAATTCAGCTGTAGATGAAATCCTACATAGGCAATAACTATCACGTTCTGAAACAAGTAATCATTGGGTAATTTCTTGACTGTGACTCAATCTGTCGGATGAAAGGAGTTAGGAAGATGAAACATGATATGTTTCCCCAGAGAGATACCAATCACAAACTAATCACAGTATTCTGGGAAGCATCTAGCCAGGCAGAAATTAAATCTTCTCTGGACTTTCCAATTACACTGTTCTAGTCCAGATGTTCACGTTGTTGAAATATCTTTATTTCTGAAGGAAAATAAAGACATGAAGCATCATCATCATGAGATGTGTACTGGCTGTGTCAACTGCTGGCATGAGGCAGAAAAAACATGCTGTTCCACACTGCTTGAGATGTAGGTCTTGCTCTCCGAAGAGAAAAGTGGTGGATAAGAAGTTTAGCACTTTTATTTTACTAGAAATCTTTCCACGCTTGCTCTGTGCTCGCCAAATTGGTCAACCAATTGCACTGGCAAACACAGATCATTACTAAAACGATGTCAAACACTGAGCCAGTGATGTGTTTTGTTAAGCATATGTTTGTGGTACTGCAGCACTGTGTTAAGATAATTTCACGCTCAAAAACTCCAAAGGGTTGTTGGTAAAATAAGAAATATCTTTCTGATTTTGCAGAAGACCGCATGTCTTCTGGTAGTTTTTCTACTTATGTTCTTAGATATTAAGTTTCTCTGGAGAACCAAACCAGAGGTTTATCAATGTTGATAAGGTGACTGGATTCAGTGGACTGTGATGTGAGGTAGCATGGATACTAATTTATTTTTCATAAGATGTATAGGTTGTCATATTAATATACTAAAGATACTTTGGTTTCAGGAGAGAGTTTTCTTCCAAGAGAATAGCTATGATCTTGATGTCTTTTGCCTTTCCTATGAGCAGGCATGGGCTGCCTGTTTGAAGCATAAGGATATGCTGTCAGTCCATTATCACTGTCTGGTCCTCAGGCATTGCTGTATTTGTTTTTTTCTTGTCATTTGTAGCAGTTATTGGAAGCTCAAAACGTGTGTGACGGGAAAGGGCTTAATATATGAGTATTTGGGTTTAGTGTCATGGCCAGTAATATATAGGAAGTGACATATATGACTGAATGATTTTCTTCTCCTGTCTGGATTCAAGATCTGTTAGTCCCCAGTAAAGATTTATGTGGATTTTTTCCACATACTTTTTTTCTAGAGGAGCTTGAGTAGAGCACTGTAGTATATTGAACTTTCTCAACACTCTGTGATCCCTCTTTGTGGATGCTATGCACACTTTCTCCTTGTGTTAGCTCTAGGACTCCTCCCTTTGTTAAGGAGCTTCACTGAGTCTAACAGCAAATTGCCATTCATGAGATTTGGGATGTTGGAGCTTATAGTGATATTACTCCTTGGAAGGGCTGCGTATACTTATTTCACACAAGATACTTCATATTTTATAAGATATTTTAACTCATATTTGGAAATTTGGGAAAATTATGCAAAGTTTTTGTCACTATGCCTATCACTTCTTTTTAAATACTGGTTTCAAGGCATGACATGTCATACACTCACAATGTAATAAGAAGTTTACAAAATCAGGGAGCTGCAAGTAAGAAAAAAATAATAAAATACAAAGGGAAAGCTGTAAGGGTACTTAACATGGGCCAGGCAATAGAAACTCTTGCACAATCAGAGATTTTAAAATTGTCTTCAAATTGTTATCTTGTTAAATGGAATAGGTAAATCTATCTGTGAATGAATTGCAGTAAAATTGATTTACATCTGCAAGTCAATGATTAGTGAGTTATATTCAAACATGTAATATAGAACTTTAAAGCAGTAACCCACTCCTGTTATTTCATGATTGTACTTCCTTGACTGTGTCCTCAGCAGCAGCAGAGGCAAACATTGAGTTTTCTCCATCTAGTATTTACCTTATTTAGCCTTTATACTTTGCATAATGTAATTGCAGTAATAGATGCTTCTAAAAAATCCAAAGAGGTTTGCTTTGCAGGTATTTTATGTAGCCTTTAAATACCAAATGGGGACTTCAGTGAGCAATGTGGTATGTGCCACATCAGCACATGCTGTAATGGTGGCATCGTCAGGGTGCAGGAGTGACATGAGACCTGATCATGGCATAACCAACAACTGATCTGGGTCATCCTGTCATTCATGGTTTGACACTACTTAAAAAAAAAAAAAACAAAAAATACTGTCACTGAAAGTTTGTTCCTGTGCACTAAAATTCATATAATATATTTTAGCAGTAGTGGTAAATAATGGTGATAATCAAGCTACAAATATGTAACTTAGAAATATCTGTGGTGGTACTTCAGATGGCTGTGATAGCAAAATGCAAATATGTGGCTTCTGTGATTGCCCTTCATCAGACAGCATTCCTTCTGAGGACAGCTGTCATCTGTTAATGTTGCCTGCACTGCTCTCACATCTCCAAGCCCTTCTTCACCTCTGAGCTTTTCACACGGCTGCTGAGCGCGGTTCTCCCCTTTGCGTTGCTCTTGGCCCCAGCTGCCTTTCTGTGCTCCATTTTTGCCCAGGCAGGCAGCCACACCTTCCCTGTGTGACCTGCGGTGCATTCCTTTTTCCCTCCCAGTCTCTGAGTACCTCACCTGCAGTTCCACCATCCTTCACCTTCTATTTATACACGCCTTTGTGGTTCTTTCATCTTTTTTTTCTCTGATTTTTTTTTTTTCCCTGTGATATCCATACTCCTGCAGGTGGCTTTAGAATATTCTTGCAGCTGAATCAGTTTTTAAATTCTAAAATGCCATTATCTCTCAAGAAGTGCATAGGTTCTATAAACAGAGTCCTAATACAAAATCTTTGTGATATTTTTTATTTTCTCCTGAAGCGGTGTGCATATTTGAAGGCAGAACCTACTTTGAAGGACAAAGAGAAACAGTGTATTCAAGCTCAGGGGACTGTGTTCTGTTTGAGTGCAAGGTAAGAACATTTTTTATGATAAAAAATTCTTGTGTGTTAGAAATATCAAAGTTCCACTATTGAAATATACAGATAGGTTCACTGTAGGAAATGGCAACAAGAAAGTCATCTAAGGCATCCTGTATTTGTTTTGTCTTACTGAGTTCCACAGACAATTTTGCAAATACATTTGCTTTGCATAGCAGCAAGCCTTGATTACACAGCTTGATGGCTGAGCTGCATTCTTTCCTCCTTACATATCCTCCCCATCATCAGTAACAAGACCCACCAGGCTGCGTTATGTTTCTACTGACATCTGTGCTGTTCACAATTCTACTGACATCTATTGTTCACAATTTTGAGCCCAAGTGCAAATGATGAACAAACATGATGGGGACATAATTTAGACTTCAGGATAATTCTGAGTGGAAAAGATGGGTGAAAAATAAGAAAAAGAAGGGGTGCATGTTGGGTGTCCAGCTCTCTTTCTTATGTTGGAAATTAGAAGACTTGTCATTTGATTTTTAAGCAGAACACTCTGTGCTGCTGGCCAGAATGTGCTGCAAGAATAAAGATGCTCTGTAGACCACAAATGCACTCGGAGGACAAAATATATTCCATGACTGCAGGCTGAGTCACCCACCTGCTGTGGCATGCCCTGTTTTGCTGCTGAGGCAGAAGAATGGGGTAGGAGTATCTCTGGGCAGGGAGCTGCATGCTGCATCATGCAGCTGAAGAACTGAATGCATGTGTCTAGGGAATGAATGGGAAAACTCCTTCCATGAAGATGCAGCAGAGGTCTGGGGATTTAACTGCAGTACTTAACACTGTACAAACTTTGTGGGGCTGCAGGAAATCTAGAATGACTCAAAAACTGAGGTATAAAATCCTTTCTGACTACCATAAGTCATGGTGGTATGGCAGTTTGTGCCTAGACTTCAGAGCCAGTATTCTGCTCTCAGACCTGCTTGCAACCTTCCATTTGGCGTGCCCTCTCTCCAGGAGTAGGCAGGGGTTCCATCCACCCATCAGGCAAAATTCCTGGCGATTTCCAAACATCTCCATGTCTTTGTAAGAAAGTGTGTATCTTATAGAGAAAAATGGTGACCGTTGTCCTACTGTCATTGCTTTTCATCTGAGCTTAATTCTCTGATTCTTTGAAATCTTTTGAAAAAAAGGAAGGAGAACATGGCCAAAAAATAATTCTGGAAATGTATGTTTCAGTCACATGGCTTCCAGGACTGTGAGTTTATATTTTTCAGTGTGGCACCTGGGATATTAACTCTGTGATTAATTCACAGTCATCAGAAGTTATATCTTTCAATTTTTATTTTTATCTTTTTGTGTATCAGATGCACACTATGAACGAAGTGTCTCTGTTGGTCATGCTCTTCTGTGTTTTGTTGATGATGCTGCACGTTAGTGGACTGTCTGCTGGTCCTGGTTGAAATATTAAGCAGCAGCTTTGATTCATATTATCCTTTTTCAAGGTGTGAAGTACACATTGTTTCTGATGAGCAGCCTTGGGAATGGTATTTCAGAGCAGAAAATCCCTGTGCTGTACTGTGTGGGTCAGCCAGGAAGTCACATGTTGGCACTACTATATTGACAGTGGAGTTGCCATGAAGGGATGTAATTTGTAATCCCAACACAAGACAGACTTGATAGGACTGGCACAAGTACTGATTTCATGGTTAGAGGCCTATGGTCAAGTTATCAAGGTGGTGTAGAGAATTCCATTTTTCAAGTAGCACATAATTTTAAACGTCATAAACAGCAATTGTGTCTGCTGTAGGCATGCACTTATGCACTTTTCTGTTTAAATATTGCAAGACAATAAAAATGAATTAAACATTCTGTTCCAAATAAGGATCTGTAAAAAAAAATATTAAATGCAGTCCAGACTACTCTGATATTATTTCTATCAAATGTTATTTTCTTTATTTTGAAAGATCGCTGGTTTTTGTTTGTCCTGGTTTACAGTGCACATCAGCATCTGGCTTTATTTATTTATTTCAGGTTTAGGCTGAATTGTTTAATGGAAGATTTGGGTGGTAATTTTCATTTCATTTTTATATTTTGTGTTTAAAGATGACTTAAAATCAAATGCTAAACTTGGAATAATAATACATGCAATAGCATATTCATCAGGCATTTCCTTTCATGCAGAAATAGAGGGCCCTGAATTCAGTGAGCTCATACTTAACCGAATTATTGATTCTCTGGCATAGGAGGAACACGTTATTGCTTTGCTTGTTTGTTTGCTTTGTTTGTTTTCTGTTTTTGCTATATCAGGAATAGAGCACATCAGAAGATATTAAAGGTGGTATTTCTGTGGTAGCCTGATTACTAAGATGGGCATTTCACTATGGTCATACTGCAGTGATTGTGTGTGACCTGCACTAAATGCCTGAAGATGTTCAGATAACATCTTGGCATTAGATGCTTCCAGATGCTGTTCCCAGTTTAATAAGAAAGCTGTTTCCTAAGATGGAATCAGTGCCTGTTTCCTTCAGTGAAAAACTTGCTCTTTTGGGTGTGGTTTTATGAGAAACATTTGAGACAAGTTGTTCGAATGCTAAGGTAAATAATGAGAACTGTTCTTCTACTTTCTCTTACATGGGAAGGTTTTAGCATAGGGTAGTTCCTGATGTTTCTGTTGTGCTTGCTGTTCTTTCAAATGGTTTTTAAAGGTATCTAGATTTACCATAGGTACTTTTTTTGTTTGTAAATTACAATGCCAAAAGCCAACTAAAGTTATCCTTTGTCTTCTTCCACAACAATGATCAATTGCTTCCATCTGACAGGATCACAAAATGCAGCGTATTCCAAAAGACAGTTGTGCAACTTTGAACTGCCCAGAATCTCAACAGATCCCATTGTCTCACAGTTGCTGCAAAATCTGTAAAGGTAAGAAAATAACAGGACATAAGAAAAGCTCAGTGCTGTTTTGTTTTCTTATAGATTATATGGACTTTTTCATGATCTTTTTGGATATGACACTCCTACATGTAATCACAGCAGACTTTGTGAATCTGAATGGACAATTCCTGTATCATGTTGTCTAAAAGTTGCTTGTAAAATATCTGATAGTGTAAATTCTGTGAGACACATTCACTGGCTCTTGTGTGTTTAATTCTAACCAAACACGAGTAAAAATTCCAAAGAATTGTACACACGATTAGTGATTTTCTACCCCTCATTCTGCTGTCTGAACAAAATGAGATTGGAAAAACGTGTTCCTCAGCATCCTTCTAAAGTGCTTTGAGATGTCTGCTTTGGAGAACAGTTTGTGCTGTGCAGTTGTTCAAACAGCATCATATATTGTCGATCTGTTTGGAGTTGTACTCTGAATCTAAAAGCAGAACCTTTGAGTGCTGTTTTGGTACACTGTGTGACTTTATCTGTTACACAAGTACTGGTCTTTTCCAAAGGTGCAGGAACTGTTCTGTCTTGAGCCCAGTCTTTTGATCTGTGGTAATATCAGTGTCTTCAAAGATATAAGCATTTGTAACTTCAAGTAGCTATGTCTGTTTCTCCGAAAGTTAAATAATGATAAATTGGTACCTGGCATGAAAGAAGATGTTAGACTCTTGGGCTGATTTTAGATACACTTCACTGAAAAGAAAAATGTAGCTAGACTTGTTTTGGTGCTGCTCAGTGGAACCACGAAGGATATGATTAATGACATCAAGTAGAGAGATAAGAAGAAAGTAGAAGAAAAGAGCTTAAGAAAAGTTGATAGCTCTTGAAGACTATCACAGTCAAAAAGAATTTTTTTCATGACAATTTTCTGTAAAATCTTGTGTAGAGAAAATAATTCTGTGTTTGTAGTGCCTACCAGAGCTAGAAAGTTTTAATATATATCAGATTAGTGCTTTCTGATCATTTTCAGTCCTACCTGAACCATGCTATTATAGCCCCTCATGGAACATGGATTTTGTTCTTTAAACAAGAAGCATTCTTTAAATGGCATCATTAGTACATCTGAGACACGAATGTTAAGAATATTCATAAAATAACAACAAAAAACCCAACCCTATCATCCACTTCATGAATAACAGGTACATTCTTAGTTATGAAATGCCAGTCTGATACAAAGATATCCAGACCAGGAAATAAAAAAATATGATTGTTGCTTTGTTATTAATTCAGACTTCAATGAGGAAGACAACAAAAGGGCAAAGAACAAATATTACCACAGGCAGAGGTTGCTCTTGACACACATTTTTGCTGTCATCAATGAATATTGAAAAGCTTCTAATGCATGTAGAACTACAGAACTTTTTGCTTCTAACATAAATGCTATGTTAAATAGCAGCATTGTGGTAGTTATGGTAAATCATAGAATCATAGAATCACCAAGGTTGGAAAAGACCTAAAAGATCATCCAGTCCAACTGTTCACCTATTACCAATAGCTCCCACTAAACCATGTCCCTCAACACAACATCCAAATTATATCATGCAAGTAAAATTAGCCAAACTTCTTTCTTTATCCATAGCAGAAAAGAAAGAACTGTAATCGTCAGACTCCACTACATTAGTAGGTCTCTGATGTTTGTATCATGACCACGTCACTGAGTTTAAGTACTAAGACATTTGCCTTTATGGACTCTTCTTTCTTTTTGCTTTTTCAGTTTGATTTCTGTTGCTTCACATTGCTTATAATCTGCTCAAGTTCAAAACATGCGTATGAACTGACACTCAAGCAGAGTCTGCCATTTGCTTGTTTAACATTGATATAGGATGGTTTAGCAATAGAGATCAATATATTAGTTTAAGGACCAATATATTAGTTTAGCAAAAAGCAGTTCATGTGTACTAAGTTAAAAAACTTTCCAGTTTCTTTGCTTAATATGGGAACAGTTTTCTATTTCTGAGTGGTCCAGCTTCACAGAATCTTTGTAGTCACTACTTTTATCTTTGCATCCACCAAATGCAAGGACTTTTTCTTGGGTTTCATATAAATTGTCTTGAGCTGTAGTGCACAGGGTAACAAACAATGAACATTTGCCAGACTGAGGGAAAAGCAGCAGAAGGTCAGCCAAAGGACACTGTGGTGAAGAGGAAGATGAAATAAAGAGGAGGATATAGGTGTCCTAAGACCATCATAGGCCCCCAGCATGCATTCCAAGAGGAACATTAGCATAAAGTAATGAGATCTTGAAAAAGAATGAATATGTATGCCAGTGTATTGCACATGTATATCTTAACTGTTTAAATGTAGAACCTGAACTCTGAGAGGGCACAATTGATTTGTCAAGTTGCCTGGTACATATTGTGAAAATAAAGGAATGCTGGCTTTCTAACATCACATTGGAGTAGGGGGTTTTCTTCCCAGAATTTTCTGATGAAAACATGCTCACATGATTTAGGGGAAATAGGGATAGAAGCTGTTTTGTATCAAAATTTGAAGCAGAATACCAATGGAGTGTTAAAAACAGTATTCTGCACTGCCAGCAAACACTTGTTTGTTATTTCATAAGAGGCCAATGTTACCATCTAATTCTAGCTTACATTCTGGAGTTGCTGCTATTACGCCAGTCTGGCGCCCTGAGCTTGAACCACCGTTCCTCAGTTCTCCCATGTGAGATTTTGAAACAAGGAGAGAGTCATTGGCAAAAATCATTGAAGTACTGCTGATTGACCAATTCTGATGTTTCAGTTACAGAGGAAAATGTTAAACAAATAAGATTGTGGTGAAAATAATGGAGACAAACATCACATCTTAACAGACAGATGTGGAAGTTTGGACTCTTCAAGTCAATTACTGCAAACAGCCTGGATTTAGAATAATAAAGGCTGATTTATTTATTAGATTTCAGTGAAAGCAAACATAAGATATTAAAAAACAACAGCAGCAACAATAAGCCACTGAGTTAAAAGGCTCATTCTAAATCTTTTAGCCTGGAAAAGAATTTCAGAATCTCAAAAAGTCGTAATTAAGTTTCAGTAGAAAACACACTTAAGAAATATTGAAATGGAAAATTAGGAGTAGAAGAAAATAAAGAAGGCCAAAAGGTAAGATTTTTAAAAATAAGTTTCTCTGAAATGGAGTAGCAGAGGCAATCTGGGAAGTGTTTTCAGTCAATGGAGCTTGAAAGAAAAAGCTAAAGGGAAGAGAAAAGCAAAACGAGTCAATGTTAATCAAAGACTTTTAGTTAAATGGGGAAAGATTGCAAAAACACTTGGGAATGTAACTGCTAGGGGAAAGAAAGTAATCCCATTAGTCAATGAGCTACTGAATGTCTAAGCTACTGAGCTCTTTTATAAAAGTTTGACAAAAACAAACAAACAAGCAAAAAACCTAAAGGAAGAAGGATGCATTGTTATGAAATGTCGTAAAAGTACTGAACAGCAAGGAGAAGATAAGCAGATTTAAGCAAGCCACTTACCCAGCTGCCTTCAGATCAATGGCATAACCTGAAATTGAAGCGAAGACCTAGAGACAGTCTGTTCCTATGGCCTTTACTACTTCTTTCATTGCTGCACACTTGATACAATTTGCTTTTCTGCCTCTCATGAACAATAGAAAAGTATTCTTTAACTTTACTGGAAAAAAATAGCATTGTCTTTGACAGGGGGTGGTTTATAATCCTGGATTCCTTTTAAATCCTCTATCATATTTGTTTCTGTACAGGCCATGACTTTTGCACTGAAGGACATAACTGCATGGAGCATTCTGTCTGCCGGAACCTAGATGACAGAGCTGTCTGTAGCTGCCGAGATGGCTTCAGGGCCCTTCGAGAGGACAATGCCTACTGTGAAGGTAATACCTTGCAAAGATGCTCAGCTCCACTGTGTAACTGGCTGTGCGAAGACCGTATTGATTCATGAGTTGTTAGAGTGATGGGCCTATTAAATGTGAGTTAGGCAGCTTATTAATCAGCTAGAATAACTATCTCTCCAATTAATTCTTTTTTAAAAAAAATTCTCATTGGTGTAGAAGTTGCAAGTTGCTATGGTTGAAGTCTGGAAGTAGAAACACATTTCCATAGGAAAGTTTTCCTTTATTTTTGTGGTATTCAGGTATTCAAGCAACCTAAAAGTCAACCATCTGGATGGCATTTCTGTATAACTCTTTTCACTACTCTATCATTCTTCCTCCCCAGTAAGTAAACACAATAGGCTAGATACTAGTGTTAATTAGATACTAGTTAGTCATCCTGAATGATGGTTTATAATTTTAGAGGCTCTTCTAATACAGCTGCTTAACAGTAGCTGTACAACCAGCTACTTAATCAGAAGAGGTGTTTCTAAAATTTGTATCTTTTCATTCTTATCATGTAATCCTGTGAAACAAAACATCCCCCCTGCAGCACTGAAAGCCAACATCTTCTTTCTTGCTGTTACTCTTTCTTGTGAAAACCCTGATTCTGCAAGCCCATACCATTAGTATCAAAGGCATAAGACTAGTGTGCCATCAAGCCATTCTTACACTAAAGCTTAAGTGCTCTCAGCAGCATGGCCTTTAGCTAATGAGCAATTTGGACTAGATTTAGTCAGCTGAGCTGAAAATTAAATGTCTCGGAGTAGAGTCTACAGTACTCCATAGTCCCACCTAGTACCAGCACTATTCTCTGGTGACAGACAAATAAATGGGATGGATTGGGGCCTTTTAAGAAGTTTCTTCAGCTGAATTCTGCAAAAGTTAATTCCTGCAGCTTGAATTAGAAGCTGCATTAATGCTGTAAGGTTAGATTTGAGAATTCATGTCGGTTTTCATAAAAGGAGCATACATTTCTGCTTAATGCATATGGTAAGTCATTTGGTAGAAACCTGCTGTAACAAGTAGAACTAAAAATCATGCAGAAATAAACCTCCCAGGTTTATTTCAGCAGGTATCTGACACCAGGACCAGCTGTGTAGCTTGTTCTTTGTTGCAGCACCAGTCATTTTTGTCACACAGTCCTTGGGGACTTACACAGAGGCTAAGGTTGCAGATCTGCATTTCAGGGAACTCATCAGCCATTTCCATTTTGAGGGGGGCACTGAAGCCATGCAGTCACGGTGAAATCAGGTGCTTACAGAAGGTTTTTTTTTCTTTTTTCTTTTTTCTTCTTTTTTTTCCTGCTGCTACATTTTTTCTCTGCTGACTGAAAAGCAGAGAAACGCTTTATGCTCTTAGTGATCTCCACATCACTCAAATTAGAGTCTGTTGCTATGAGAAGAACTTGCCAGGCATGTAACAAGTGAAAAATAGAAAGCTTTTTGATCATCGCTGTTGGTGAAATGTTTAGATGAGGACACAGTTGATCATCATGGGCAAGATAAGTGCATCCATATTATAAATGGATTTAGCAGTTTGTGAATTATGGTGTGAATTCAGCATGACAAATTTTTGAGAAGATTTCTTAGCTCATATGCTTCTATTTGGGCATATGACATTGTTTCCAGAATTAGTCATTGTAATACTGTGTACAGATACAGAAAATGACATCCTAAAAACATATATGGAATCCCAGGTGGGATTCTCTTAGCCAAGACTGAAGTTAGGGCTGTGCTGCCCACTGAGTGCCATAGTGGCAGCATACACTGGAACTGTGCACCTCTTACACATGGGTCAACAGTTGGCCTTGGCTGAGTGTAGATGTTGTATGCTGGCAACAGGGGGAATAAAGTTAAGATGGAACTTCAGAATTGCTTTTGTGGAAGTGGAGAGGCAGGGAACCAATGAGACTGTAGTACCTGTATTTGTTCCAAGGTGCGCATCCCTTTTTCAAGCCCAACTGGGCACTTTGGGCACTGAGTTGGTAATTTCTGGAAAGGCATTCAATCTTAATATTAAAAAATGTAACACTAAAGGGCGTAGTAACAGTAGTGCAATGTCAAGTTTTTTCAGAGTCCTGTCCCTCATCCTGAATGGTTGAAATTGTCCTTATTCCCCTTTCTCAGCACAAACTCTTCTTGCAAATGGCATTGTGGCTTTAATTACTAGCAAATGCCAAGTGTAAAATGACAAATTAATAGAAAGCTTTTCAGAGACAACATTTTATAACGGCTAGAGCCCATGAGTATGATAGCTGTTTCTATGTTCTCACTTAACAAACTTAAAATATACTGCAAAATTGGATGTCATTTATTCTGCATTAGAACCAGACTTCACCAGTCTTGATTCATGCCTAAGTACTGTTACAATTCAGAGAATAAACAGAAATAATAACGCTCCTATTGGTAGAACTTCTCCTTAGGGTAGAACAAAAATAAGAATATTTGGAGCTGGCTTCAGTACTGGTGTTGAAAAGCTGCATAAATTTCCTTTGAATGATGCAAGTGTTTCACTTCTGTCCTGGAAATAATGGATGCTTTTCCAAAACTATGTGATGTCTTTAGATATTGTTCTGATAGATGCCTTTATGTTTTATAATAATAATATTTATTAATATTTATGTCACATTTATCTTTCCTTTGAGGACTGTTATAAGCAATACTTCTAAGAGTCGGGATTTCCTCATATACATGCTCTAAGCCTTATTCCAAGTACTATGAAATCTACTTCCTGCCTGAGGTGGTTGTTGTGTGGTTTGGGATACCTTGTGGATAGGTTGGGCATGGGTTATGATATGTAGGTGCTTTTGAATATAGAATTCTTGGCAGCCCTCTCAAACTGACAGTCACCCTCTGTGATATATTTGAGATAGGGTTGAGTGCCCACTACACTGGTGGTGGTGAAGCTACACTGAAGACATTTTTAAGGATACTGTTTGTGACTCTTAGCTGCCAGGATATATTGGTGCATCTGGAAAAGTGAAATTTACTCAGGCAGCAATACTAGACAGCTGAAATAAGATGGTTTGCAAATAATCTGCTTGTGGCAGTTGTAAGTGTTCTTCTTACATCCTTGAACAGTTTACATACACGGTATCATTTCTCAAACGGGGAGGTGTCTTTCTTTGTAGCTTTTGGAGACTGTGATCTGAAGGATTGTTTGAAATTGGAGTTTTTGAGTTAAAATTAGCGCTCAACAATTTCTGTACAAAATCTGATTTTACTTTAGGAGCATTTCTAAGAACTGCTGACTAAAGAGGGAGGGTGGTAAGCTCAAGCAAGAAAATGAGAGAATGCAGTGGTCTTTTGTAAGCACTAGGTGTTCTTTTAGATTTTTACTAAAACACTACTGATAACACACCAGCATTTTGGCTGTTGTTGAACAGTGCTTGTTTGGTGTCAAGGCCTTCTCTATTTCTAACTTCCCTAGCAGTGAGAACGCAGAGGTGGGCAAAGGCAAGGGAGGGGATTCCACTGTGAGAGCTGACCCCAGCTAGTCAGATGGAATTTCCATGATGTGTATTCCGTGACTTCATGCTCAGCAATAGAAGCTAACGCAGCTGTTGCTTGGAGACTGACTGAGCATCAGTCTGCTTGTGGGAAGTGGCAAGTTATTGCATTTGCTTTTTTTTTTTTTTTTTTTTCTTTTTCCCCTTCACTACTTAAACTGTCTTTACCTTAATCCATTGTTTTTTTTGTTTTTTTTTTTCTTTCCCCCTAGCTTTTGCTCTTCTGATTCTCTCCCTTATCCTGATGGGGAGGAATGAGTGACTGGTGGGTGCTTAATCGCTGGCCACAGTCCCAGATCTAAGTTATGGTTGTGAGGACCACAACATTCATCTTCCAATATGTGGGAACTTAGTTGTACTACTTGCACAGTACGTGACATAGCTAACTTATCCAAACAATGTTTGGAAGCATTTAATATTATCAAATATACTTTTTTTGAAGCCATTTTTCCATTTTTAATCTAACTTACACTTTTTCTTCAATAACTCTTCTAGTTTCTTTTTTTCTGTTGCCATATTTGTCCGAATTTCAAGAACACAGCTGAGATAATACCACAGACTGAGTGACTTTGTCTACATTTGAGAATTTTATCAGTTTTACTGATAATTTTCTCTCGAGGGGAGACTCAAGAGTCTTCAGTGTATAGATCTGCATTTGAATAAGCTGCCTTGATTTGAATGATCCTTGGCTGAAGGAAATGAGGAATCTTAGAGGATGAACCATCTCTTTCCAGAGTAGGTGTCCAAAATAGGTTAGAAACAACACTTGGTTGGACCTCATCGGGATGTCCTTATCAAATTGCAGTAGGATACATGTTCAATCATACTGGCCAATTGCAGTAAGCAATGGGAGTGTAATATTGAAAAGAATATAAGTAAATCAGATGAAGACATCTGAAATGCAGACACAGCCCTGAGTATTTAAATATATTACTTTAAATCTTGTGAGTAATCAATGCTGTGCTATTTGTTAGCTTTGCTGTCTTCATAGTATGCACAATATTCTTATGGTGAGAGTCCTACCTAGGAGCTCTATCATACTGTTTTGCTAAAATAACTGTTTTGCTAACCTAAATTATTATTTATTAATTTATTTTTTGCAAGTGAGCTGTGGCAATAGTATCACAATATATTAAAAAAGTAGTTTCTCATCTGCATTAACTGGTAGAATTTGGACCATTTCCTTGTCATTTTGAGTTGGGATGAAAAGCTAATAAAGTAGATAGAAATACTTCCATTCCAGGGAGGCAGAATGTTCCTCTCAAATCTATATTAAAAAGCAATTAAAGTATTTATATTAAACATAAAATATTCATAGTAAGCAGTTAATGTATTATCAATTATTAATATTTTTTTCTTAGCAAAGGCAGAAGATGCCAACTTATTTCCAACATTACATAACTGAGAAATCTACATGTGAAGAATTTTCAGGCCAATTTTGATGTGCTAGTGTGGCTTATCTGCCATGGCTCTTATTCAGGGAGATGATAAA